AATCTTTCCACCTGTCTCCTGGAGGCTAAATTACTGGAAACAGCAGTGAAAGTGTCTTGGACATGCAACACGTAATGTGTGGGGAGACTGAGCTTTCTCAGATATTTTGGCTTATATCTAACAGAGGAAAGTGGGAAAACAGTGGTTCCAAAACTTCTTGCATAGTTTTAGTCCACTTTTATTATTAATATTATTATTGTAAAATTGAAACACTGAGGTTTTGAATGATGCACTTCAGAAGAAAAGGACAACAACCCTCTCTAACCTCACTCATTTAGTTGTCATACATGTTGGGTTTTGTCTGTGACATTCTGTTGTAGGCCTGCAGTTGCTGCACTTCTTGTGCACTTCTTTTATAGGTCACTGTTGTCAGCCTTGTTCATCTGGCACTGATTATAATTTTTATTTTTTTTTTAAATAGCATGCTCACAATTATGGGTTTGCACCTCACACAACTCGGAAGTTGATCCTAACTTTTCAATACGAGGATATTCATTACAGAAGCATCTGTCTTTCTAATAATAATTTTGGAAGTAGCAATTTTAGCCGTTTCATGTGGTGAAATTTAAATTCTGTGATTTCCATACTGGTGGTATCTGGAATTATTCAGAACTATCAACACAGTTCCAGCCTGAAGCATCTTCTTCCAAGGTTGACTGTATCTCATCCAAAATGTACAGTGTCTCTGGGCTGATTGACTTGACTTTGTCTTGACTCTGTGATATTCTCCAGGGTTAGAAGAGAGTGTCCTTTTAAGTATCTTTTGCTGATCAAAAGAGTCCTGTAATAAGAAAATCATGCAATATAAATGTCCTTAATAGTTGTGATAAATATTTTGGAAGTTTTATATTTTACTTCGACAATATAAACTGTGAACAGTTCATGACAAAAAAAAAGGAAGGAGAGTAAAAAGGTCTTTATTCAAAAGGAAAAACAGTGCTATATCGTAGCAGAGATCATTCTAGCAGGTGCTGAAATTTCTTACCATCCCTAAGTACTTTTTGTTATTAATTTATTTCTTTTCCTGACTAAATGAAGTTCCCAGTATAACTGAGTGCTTACCTTAATATTTTCCAGTTTTAACTATGAAGCTTTTCAGACTTTGCTTAATATAAAGAGGAAAGTTCTGGTATTCTATCTTTGTTTTAGTGTTCCAGTAATATTGTTGACACTGCTTGTGACTACAGGCATTTTCTAGAATGACAGGGCAATCAATACCTAGATTTCTTCCACTTACCAGACACGAATGTGTTGAAAAACTACACAACTTCTCATGCCACGTGGCAAATCAGGCTTAAAACCACTTGAAAATTATATTCAGGGAGCTGGCTCCTGCATTCCATGATCTGAGAGAGGGACTGCAGCCTCGGGGTAGAAATGCAATGGAAGACCCACTCCTGACCTGGAGGACTCTGCAGCCAGCACAGCCCCTGGTCAGGATCCCGTGGGAATTAGCTCATCCTGAGCATCTGAGAATAAATCAAACAGGCAGGGAAAAGCTCTAAGGAAATTAGGATGGAAGTAACACAGACTGAGAAAATTGTTTGAAAATATCTCGAGTACAAGCAGTATGCAAATGCTGTTAAATGGTCACAAGAAATCAGGGGCTTGATTAATATATTCTCCTGTAGCAAAGTTCTCATTACACCATGAATAGATGTAATTCTGTCCATAGGGACTCTGAATGCCGATATTTTGACATTCAAGGACTTCTGTGCATTTCTCCTCCTTCTCTTTTTAACCCAATGCCAGCAGCAATTTTTGCTTCCTTTTTAGCCCAAATTATCTTTCTTCTCTTTGTGGAAAAAGATTAACAGAGAAATGGCAAAAGCCTCAATACTAAGCTTTATGGTTTTTTCAGGAAACCACTAAATTCCTTTCTATCTCTTCTAGGAATGAAGGCCAAAAAATTATCACAGAGCAACAATAATATAAGAGTATTTAAGGACTTAAATAAATAAACTTTAATAAACTTATATTTTCAGCACAGAGCAGATGGTGTTTGACAGACCTCCCTGAAGCTATGTAGCATCACATGCCACGCTAGTTATTTTTCAATAATGTGATTTACTAAACAAATTTCTCCTTCTTTGAAATCCTACGGCGAAGGAGGGGTTTTGGGTACAGATTAAAAGGCAGTAGCCATTTCGTAAGTAACAGGCAAAGGACACCTAAAATTCATGGATAAATACAAAAATTGTACAGAATATTTGAGACTGCATCCATGTTTTTATGTGTTAATGAAATATTGACATTGAGAGAGCTCAACTGGATCTCCATCCTCTTGGTTTGGGAGCCTGTTTTCCAGCACAGGCTGGTTCATCCCATTTAGCATCTCAGACAGCGTGGAGGCATGATTTGGGCAATTGCACAGAGCAATTGAGAACAGGCTCTTTTCTGTTTTGGAGGGAGAGGGGACCGGCCAGATGGACGTTGACAGTTTGTGTTGTGTGGCCTAAGGGTCACGGAAGGGCTCCCAGTTGTTTTGTGTTTCACAATAGGATGCACCCCAAGGGCCACTGTTTGCATAAACACTGTTAATTTAAAACCAGACTCAAAAAGATAAAGGATAAATTTGAAGAGAGGCTTGGGAGAGGTTCTATATGTAGACTACCATGGGCCTACTCTCAGTGAAAGTTTCCCTCCTATGAGCAGTACAAAACACCCAGATTAGGAATCTAAATTACAAACTTTGAGGTCAATCTCAAAGTTTATACTTTTTTTTTCCAATGGCCAGGAGCCCTTTCTCCTAGATGGTCCAGTTTATCAAATGCATAATTTACTGAGTGTCACTGTATCCCATAGCTGACTACCCTGGAAGAAGTCCCAAGTTCCTGTTCAAGGACAACTTTCTGAACCCCTAAATGGGTGCCAGGCATTAATTGCTTGACCTCACCATGTAGGTGGTGAACACAAAATATATCTGCTCTGCATGAGATGAGTGAATAAGAATTGTTAACTAGTTGTTTTGTTTGAGAGCTGTAAAATACGATCCCTAAGTTAAGTATCATGGTGTTTACTCTTTTATTGTTTACATTGTGTTAATATTCACAGCAATTTTCCCCAGTTTAGCAAATTATTCCCTGATTTTATTACAAATGAAAAAAAAAAAAAAGCCAAACAAAGGTTATCTTTGCCCTAGAAAAAAATGTCTTAACGTATTTTGTGTGGTTATGGATCTTTCTAAGACAGTCCATTAAAGCTTTAACAATGAGAAGGAAGAGGAGAATTTAAACAATATTAAAGAATTTGAATTATTTGGTTGGGAAAATAAAGCATCCCAGAACAGTGATGTCACCGAGAAAACTTGGTTCAGCAAGTGCACAGTGCACAGCTGGAGTAATTTTCTTCTTTTAAGTTTTCTTAGAATATATCTTTGTAGTCTAACTAACTAGAACCTGGCTGAGACTGGCTCATCTGGCAGTCCCTGCTGTACCATTCTGACAGCCAGGAGAGGCTTCCTGTACCAAACTTATCTGCCTCAGCTTTATTGTGAAATTTCAGCCTGAAAAGCAAGCTTTGATTGTGTGCACATGTGACAGCTGCTGCCTCGAACAAAATAACAGGGACCGAATTCAGGACATCTAAAACTAAAAGCCTGTGCTGACACTGCTTAGGCTAAAGAGACTTAGCTCTTCAGCTGGGGACCAGAAGAACTCAGTCAAAGGATGAAGACAAGAAAAGTGAGATAAAAATATCACCGGGTGACACAGATGCCTCCTCTTGTGTGATAGCAAATGCTTTCTCTCTCTGTTTTCTGGTGTCAATTTGTATGATTAACTCCAGAATTTGTAATGGATTCTTTTTAGAGAGCTAAGAGGTAAATTTATGTTTTGTATCAAATTCTGGTGGCACTTGATATTGTTGTGTTTGAATTTCTAAATGAAAAAAGGGGATGGGTTTTTGCGGATTTCTAAATGATCATAAAAGCTTTGGCCTCATGTCATAATTAGAATTACAGGCAATAACAGAAAGCAGGCGTTCTCTGGAATGAATGCTTAAAGCAAAGGCTGGAACAGAGGCCACTTGCCAATGTAGAGCTGTTAACCGTGCAGTCCATGTGAGAGATCACTGTTGAAAGGGTATGTTTAATCCCCATCCCACCCCAAAAGTGACTTCTCAATAGTTCCCAGAAAAGTATGCTATTAGGCTCAGCTGGAGACGGAAAATCGCTCTTAATCATATGCAAGGAACAATTCTAAATAGGAGTATTTGAAAACAGCCTTGGGAAGGAAAGAGTACTACCAGGAAGAATGGAAGATCATTCTGATTCTTGATGAAAAGCTTTCAAACAGAGTTCAATGTGCAAGAGATGTGACAAATCTTTAGAGAAGCAGTTTTCTCTTAAGAGAAAGGTAATACAGCTAGCAAAGTCACTTAATGCTTTTTGTGTCATTGAACCTAAAAAAAGTATTTTTTCCCCATTGGTTACGAGCCACAAAAGGCTTTTTTCCCCCCTTTTTAATCTTCGTGAGGAGTTTTGCTTTGAGACTTCCTGCAGGAAAGTGTTTTAAGTGGAATTTTTCTTTATACTGCACCTAATGTCTGCCAATATGATTCCTGCTACAGGCGTAGGGACCATTTTCCTTCTGTCCTCAAGCTGTGTTGCTGCTTATTATCATGTTTAACATTCCCAGTGCCTGGCAGGATGGAGATTAGAAACTCTTAATATTCATTTTATAGTGAAAGGTCTTACCAGATTTTTTGAGTATTAACTATAATATATGCACATAATTTAGTGGTGGAAAAGTTCTGAACTCTCCGGTGAGTCACCTTCATCTTTGTTCTTATCACTTTAGGATTGTTTTTAAATAATCTTCTACGCCTCCCTCACATAAACATGTTAAAAACACTACATTGGAAATAACAGCTTGATGGAAGCAAACAAAAAAAAAAAAAGATGCACAGGTTTCCTTTGATAAGTCTGTACTATTTTTTTTAGAAGTGCATATTATTTGGAGTATTTTTCTCCAACTCTGTGATTTTGGTTTTGTTAACAGACTGGAAGGAAGGAGAAGGGGGACCCACTCAACATTGCCATTGACAAGATGACCAAGAAAACACGAGACCTTCGAAGACAGGTAAGCTATGATTTTTGTAATGCTTCTTGATTTTCCGAGGGAATCATAAACTTTTCCACTCAGGATTGGTTTTGCCACATGTAGAGGTTTGAAGTGTTGGTGTCCTTATTTAGACATGACATTACATTACACGTGGCATGAAGCAAAGTAGTAGCATTTCCTGAGACAAAAATAAAAAAGGGAGAATGGAATGTGTTCCAAGTGTAACCCCCCAGTGTCCTGCTGTGTGGGAGGGTGGGCAGATTGGCCAGGCCTTCACAGCCCAGCAACCCCAGTCATAAAAACACTGGCATATGTGCTTATTTGTATTTATTGGAATACCCTCATGGAAATAACAGGAAAGAAAAGGAGAATGTGAAAAAAAAAATTATAAGAGCAGAACATTTTCAGAGAAAACTTCCAAGGTACTGTATTAAATAAAGATTTTATGAAGATATAGAGAGGGTTAATAAATAGCAAGTTGCCCAGAGAGATGGTGGATTCCCTATCCCTGTAAACATTAAAGTCCAGGGGAAATAGTTGAGGATGGCCCTGCCCATAACACAGGGAAGTGGACCTTTGAAGGTCCCTTCTAACCCAAAGTATTCTATGATTTTATGAATAACTGCAAAACATGTCTTAAACAGTAAAGAATTTCTTATATTACATTTATCATTGTGTTTTGTAATAAGGTTGAAAGGTTAATTCAAAAGGCTTGAGATGGAAAACAATTGAAAGGAGATGGGCAAACAAGAGGGAGAAATCCTTTATAAGTTTCTTTAAGCCTTTAAGTTAAGGCAGGGCAGATTGCCTCTTTTTATCTCTTTTCTCTCCTTTTGAGATGATCTCAATTCTGCATTTTCTGTAAATAATAATAATAATAATAACAACAACGAAAAATAAAACTGCAAGACCAAGCAAGGACTTAAATGTATCTTCAGAAACCTATTTGCTACAAGATAGTTTCAGAAAGAGTGGCCCCTGTAGGTATTTTGGAATCAGTGCTCTGCACTGCCACAGCTCAGTTCATTTCAGCCCTTAACTCTCAGCAAACATGTTTGAAGATCATATTCTGCAAATAATAAACCTATTGCAATGGTCTTACAGTCAATATGAATCACTGACTCTCCTATATAAAGCCTAGAATCACATCTGCTGCTCAGCTAATGACAGAAGAAAGATCTCTGCTGTTCTGACCTCCAAATTTGTGGGATCCTCAATTCTGCAGCGGAGCTGGTACCATGTGTTGCCTCCCACCTCTGTTCTTACTGCTTCAAGGAAGTAGCAGACTAACACATGAGTTGCTGTTCTGTGTGAGGCTCTCAGCAGTTGCCTGAATTACTCATCTCTAAAGCCAAATTTACTCTGAAACGTGATATAAAAATGGCACCTTTCTTAATAAACTGTCTGCTTCTCATGTATATTCAACCCCATGGAATATTCAATCTCAGAAAGGTTGGAACTCTGTGAGTAAAGTGAAGCACACACAAAGTATTTCCCTGCTTGGAGATGAAGCTTTTAATATAGGTTCTGATTTTTATGAAATTTTGTCACACAGGTATAATGTTTATTAAATCATGGCAGTTGCTAGTAAACTAATCAATATGAGATCATAATTGTGCTGGGTTTTGCACAAGTGTAGGGGAAGGTGGAGTCTTTGATTTCCACAATGAGCATTCTCACTATAAATGATTATCCCTCAGAATCATAATCAGTGTTCTGCTTCATCAAACTCATAGTCAACAGTCTACCTGTGTGTGTGTGCCTAGACCTGCCTGCACACTCCCTGCTAAATTTGAGAGTGTGAGGATGTGGTTTAATGGCTGGGGAGAGAGGCTTGAAGATTGAGAAGAAATGAGCCACGGTTGAGAATACGGAGTTACACTATTTCAGTCTTTCTATTTTGAGCTAAATCATTGGAGAGACAACCGCCTTTGAATACCATAATGCCTTTTGTTTTAATGAATCCCTTTTAGAGCTTGATTTTCATACTTTTGAAGCTTAATGTTAACACCATAAAACTAGACAATCTACAACATACGTTTCAGTGATGGGGAAGATATATATATTTCATTTGATAGTCAGGCTCCCTTTCAAGTCTACAGTAATCACCCATCTAAGACTGATTTTCCTTTCTCTCCCCAGGTTACTTAGCTCTTTATTTCTGAGATTTGATTTCATTATCTGCAGAACATGCAGACATGTGAAATGATTGGGGATGGAATGCACGGTGCTAAAATTCCGCCTCACAATTTACAGTCACTTCAATATTTCTTATTCTGATGGAATTACATCTTTTAAACTCATCATTTAAACTCTCCTGGGCATTGGGAAACTATTATGGAGATCTAATTATATGTCTTACTATAAACTGCCAGTAAGAACATCAACCTAAGTCAGACTGAACAAGTTCTTGGAAGCAGACACGTCTCACCAACCCATAGCTCACTGCTGCCATTTCTCACATGATATTCATAGAAGCACAGAATGATTTGGGTTGGAAGAGACCTTAAAGACTGTTTAGTTACACTCCACCTGCCATGGGCAGGGACACCTTCCACTTGCCCAGGTTGCTCCAAGCCCTATCCAACCTGGCCTTGAACACTTCCAGGGATGGAGCAGCCACAGCTTTTTTGGGCAACCTGTGCCAGGGCCCCACCACCCTCACAGGGAACAATTTCTTCCCAAGATCTAATCTAACTCTACCCTCTATCAGTGGGAAGCCATTCTTCTTTATGTCCCTCCAGGCCCGTGTCCAAAGTCTCTCTCCAGCTCTCTTGGAGCCCCTTTTGGTACTGAAAGGTGCTGGAAGATCTCCTGGAAGTCTTCTCTTCTCCAGGATGAACAGCTCCAACTTGCTCAGCCATTTTGAACAAGCTGGAAAACACACAGAGTTCTGTGTCTGCTAATAAGTTGCACCAATTGGCAAGATTTGAGGTCTTTTTTACGCCCCTGGGATGCAAGTCTGTAGTTAAAAAAAAAAAAAAAAAGAAAAGAAAAGACAAAACCTAAAAGCCAAACAAAACCATCTTTCACTGTTTGGTACAGCAAACCAGCCCAGCAGCAGGGTGCTGGTTGATGCCAGTTATTTTGTTTGTTTGCTTTTCCTCCATAGCAGGAAAAAGAAATACCATCCCTACAGTTTAAATACTACAGGTAATCCCAAAGCAGCAGGCACACCCAGGATTTCAGGTGTCACAGTGACATCTGCGGTGACACTGAGAGCAAGACAAGCAGGAAGGACACACCAAAGAGTTTGGCTGACACACCAGCTGGATGCCCAGCGAGGCCCAGCACGGTCTGTGGATCATTTGGAGGTGTGTGAGCAGAGCACCAGCTGTTCTGCTGTCACCACCACTGGTGTCCCACCTGTTAGTGCTGCTCTCCTGCCCTGCTGCCACCAGCTCTCTGGGTTTGTGTCCTGTTCCAGGGGACCAGCTGAGCTTGTTCAGTCTCTTTGAGCCGCTCAGTTTCCCCGTGAGGTGGAATAACTGAAACCATTTGTTTTCTCTTAAAGAGCAGGAATCTGTGCTGCCATTGACACCAACAGAGCAGCCTGTCTGCACTGTTTCATTTTTGTCCAGTCAAGCCAGACTAGGTCTTCATATGCCTCCAAGTGGAAGGAATTGTGTAGAAATGAGATTTTTTTACCAGTAATTCTGTTTATACTGAGCATTATGCTCTTAGGTAGCTGTTAAGGACAATCCATCCACCTCCTGCAGACTGAGGTTTATGTTATTACTAAAGCTACTTAGAAATATTGTGTGAAATAAATACCCCAAAGAAAAAAATTCACTTCCTTACAAACTGAAAAAAAATCATAAATCGTCCAGAAATTGAATTTTGAAAGTAAAAAAAATAAATAATAATTATAAAAAAAGAAGTCTGAGAGTTTCAAAAAGTCCAGTGTGGACTTTTTTTCAGCAGTTTCAAATTTTCATTTTGAAAGTTAGTAATTTATTTTTAGCTTAGCACTGCAAATATATGCACTTACACATTAATAAATATGGAAAAATAAACTCAGGTTTTTACAATGGCCAAAAAGATTTTCCATCTTTTTAAGGCATTTTGATATTTTTTTTTTAATTTTCAGATGTAGTTGCAAAGTAGACCAAAGGAAAAATTAAAAAGTACTATGTTTTTTTTAAAGATGGATTTCTGCTTGTCCTTGCAGTTTTAGGCAACAAAACTTTATTAAAAAATTTATTAATGGGGACTGTGAAGTAGAAAGTCCAGAAATAACTGCATTACCGGTTGCATTTTGATAAATACTTTTGAACCTTTAGACTGATGTCCTGGGCTTTTTCTTTAATGGAAGGATGGCTAATAGAAATTAATGCTATTTTTAGAGATATAAGTTTGTGTGTGCAGTATTAAAAGGAGTTTTTTGCTGTCTGATTATTTTTTGTGGCCTTAAATTATGTGATTTTGGGTGCAATGCAGCTTAACCTTTTGGACAGTTATAAAAAGCAGAATAATGTCAACTTCCCATTAGTAGCTACTACAGTTAGTAGCTAGGATGGTGATTTTTAATAGGGAAAGCTGTCATCATTTCTGGACTCAAAACACCTGTGCTTGTTCTCGTGGCTAAAAGAATTCTTTACACCACTCTCTGAGACAAAACATTCTGATTTAGCATTTCTTTTTATCAAACAGGTGGTTGGATGTGTTGTTCTTAAAAGGTCCTTTCCAACCTTAACAATTGTTTGAAAAATGTCCTCTCCTCAGGGTTGTCTTTTCCAGATCACATCCTTCAAACCTCTGAGGAGCCCATATTGTGTAGACACAGGACTGAAAAACAAAACCAGATGAATTAAAGAAGTTTTGCTTTCTATAGCATAGCACTGTGTGTATAGGGCTTCCTACAGCAATAATCTCAGTTCCTCCCTTATGGCCTCTGAATTTCATGTTTTATCTCATTTTCTCACACCCATCCTTCTCCTCTCTGCTGCTGCCTCATCTGTAGCTCACTTTTTTACTCCAGGCTGGTTGATGGAATGCAGGAAGATGTGAGGCTGGTT